CAGAGCACACATGGGAATGCCCAGAGTGCTGTGATGTAAATTCTTGACTCAACTCAAATCATTCAATAGAACAACCACATTACCACTAAAGACCACATCCTTTTAGCCCTTTCACCCTGTAAGAATGTCAAAAAATGATTTTTTGTCATTTTTAAAATAAACTGTAATCTTCTAATTCCAAGAAACTCTAACCTAAGAAACTAGAAGAACAGGAGACGAAAAAGAAAACATTTAGAGTCTAGGCTCCTTTTTTAAATAAAATATAAATCCAGGGGGAGATCCCACAGACCACTGAGATGCCAGGCAGATGTGGAGTCTTCTGCTTCTTTGATGAGGGCCACATCACTAGGAAATTTATTAGAAAAAATAAAAGGAAAGCCACTGAATGTCTTAATCCACAAAAAGCTTTACATCTGCATAAAGGGAAGTAATCACTCAATTTAAAAAGAGGAAAGAATTAACTTATGTTTTTCTATTTGACCATTTAAAATGGTTTTGGTCACTTTGCCACGGAGAGCTGTGCAACCTAATAATAAAATTTGATGATGTAACTGTGAATCCACATGTTTTTTAACATCTATTTTTTTTCTCCATCCTAAACAGCTGCAAACAATTTGTTTTTTTGGTAAATTTAATCAAACTCAAAATAAAATCCTCACCAGCACAGTCGTGGCGACAACACTAGCCATGTTGCCTTAAATACTCAGTCTCAAAGACCGCCCTGCCCACACCACAAAAGTGGTATAATAAAGGCAGCAATTGACAATAAAAAAAAAAAAAATCAAACTAATTATGTCTACAACTATACAGTTGCAGCCAGTATCAAAACCTGGCTGTTGTCAGGGGCCCTAATATAACATAACGGCTGAACAGGGTTTCTGGAACTTGCACCCAGGTGATTTTCATCTGAATGGTGGCACTTTGTGTCACCGGGTGTTTATCACTTGTTGTGCGGTCCTGGCGGGGTTAAAAGTCACTCAGTACCAAAACTGTCACACAGGTATACTGGGCCAGGTCTAAAGACATCCTGTTAACCAAAACCCATGAAAGCCAGAAAAACATCCTTCTTGGGGTGAGAGGATTAATATGTTACAATATATATTAACAGAAATCATATGTTCACAGAAAAATCTACAATGCATCAAAAAAAAAATCAGCTGTTAAATGAGAAATCTACATTGAAACACCACAAATATTAGCAGAGATATCAAGACTAAAATTACTTGTTACTTGTTCATATCAATATCCATTGCCTCAGAAATTGAACTATTTATTTTGGCCAATCAAGCACCACACCAAATTCGGAGAAAAATATTAAAGAAGAAGGCAAAGCATCAGAAAAGAGGGGCAGCGGCTGACCAGCATGAAGATGAGCACAGGATGCAAGTGACACCTTGGGTAGGAAAGCACACAAGGTAGGCGATCTGGCGAGAGAGTGAGTTTCTTTCAGGCAGACCGTGATGAGAGCCACGTTCTGCAAAAGACCTGCCACATGATGATGAGTCTTAGTGTACCAACCACCCAGTCCAGTAAATTTCAAACACTGAAAGAAGACATGATTACCTGGCCTAGTAAGAAGACAAATAAACACTGTCTTACCTGCACAAGTTTCATGTTGTTTGGAAAGTCTCCTTTCAACAGATCATTTCTGATGGACCTACAATCAAAAATATGCAAAGTTTCAAATCTTGTGGCAGTAACTTGATCATTAAGAAGATCCACTGATGTGCACGCACACACACAGATATATATATATATGCACAGTGGTACCTTGGTAAATATACTTATTCTATGAACTTATAATTATAAACATTTCAACGAAGCAAATTTTGTTTTCAATGACAACATACGTGTACGAGAAGAAGTCACAAATGGCTGTTTAAAATAAACACAAGTGAAGACGTTAACAACTTAAAAACCATTATTTTACACATACAATGTCCCTGTATTTTTCAACATAATTTAAACCAACACTGATGCACTTGTCCCATCCTTTTATCAGTCCTCAGAAAACCTGCTGCACAGAACTGTGTGCTGTTTTCTAAACCATGTTTTCACTTCACTATCAACTTCTGTGTCATTCATGAAATGTCTCTGGCCAAGGTGGGTTTTCAATGCACCACTTTACGGGATAAACATTTGTCAGCATAAACAAGAAGCCTATCTTTATGAATGTCCTTTCAAGCAGCCTTTTTGTCCCCCCCCCCTAAAAAAAATGCACAACATCATGTTGTTCTTTGAGGGTACATGCCGTAAGTGCAGTGGCCATTTTTTTTTCTGTGTTGCGTATGCGCATACAACAGTTAACGTCACCTAATGAACGGATGCATAAAGTTTGATGTTGCTGTCACCTAATGACACCATTGGAAGCTACCAACTACATTTTCCTGCCTTCCCATAACCATCTGTGACTTACTTATTGACTTCCCCTCATAATTCAACTAGTTTCAATACATTTGTTACTAAAAGTTTTAATACACTCTTATCCTTCTCCTTCTTCTTCTTCCTATCTTCTTCTTCTGCTCTTTGTCCCTTACTGAAGCATACTTTCAACCAACTTCTGCTAAGATGTGTAGTCTTTTACTATTTCCACCAGTTCTTTAGATGCCCAGCTCATTATAATATCTGTATCTAATTCTTCTTCTTCTTCTTCACGTTCACCAGCTGTAAACTGGTAGAAAGTTCTGGTTGTTCGTCTACTTCTCGACTGCAGCCCTGTTTCACAATCTGAGTGTTGCATTTGCATCTGTTTGACAGATCTGACTCATTTTTATGCAGACTGTTGGTTCCCTGCCTCTTAGGACTCCAACTTAGAAGGAAGTTCCCACTTATTCAACCCTTACGACATGTTTTTGGGAAGCAGTGGGTCTATTTTTGTTTTCCCTATAATAAGGCCCCGGAACCCACATGAAGAGTATCTAATGCTCTTTTCCATGTGTTTTTAGGCATCCCTCTTTTTCCTTTACCCTGTGAATTCCAGAGAAATAACTTTCTAATTATATCACAATAAGGTTTCTTCAGTGTGTATCTTTTCTTCACCTTTAATTCCTCATTACATGTCTAGGTACCCCGATGGCTGTCCTGGGGAGGTAAAGATGGCCGGTGTCATGCTGACCACATTACCCACCTAGTGCCGAGTGGTCTGTAAAAATATGGGTGCTCTTCTCATATGCCTGATGAGCTTAAGGCGTAAAAAAGGATTTTTACTTTACTCACATGTCTAGTTTACTCTACAAACTCTTTAATGAATTCATCTGTCAAATAACCATAAATGACTAACATCCTGCTCATGACTGTTTAACCTCACTTCTGTAAGTTGAACCTCACATTCATTACAGGCTATACCTTAAGAAGCCAACATGAGGCAGACTATAGAAATAATTTACAAAAAAAAATTATAAAAAAGCTTCCTTGAATATTTAGGAGCTGATCATAGAGCCAAGGTTACAGTAGCTTCTGACATTTCAGGTTATCAATTTAACTTTGCCAAGACTGCCATCTGTCTTAATGTTCCCACAAGAGAAAGTGATGGAGCTTCTGTGTATTTCACTTGCACAGAAACAGTAACTACGGGGTGAAGTTGGAAACTGATTAACTTATATCAATTTAACATTTCATTTTTTAAAGTTTAAAGGGGTCATTAAAGATGACTACACTGCATCGGTCTGGACCCTATCTGGTTTGGGCTCTCGACAGAGTAGCTAGCCATTTGCTGGGAGCAGCGCTCAGTGCATGAATTCCAAGGCTCTGGAAACGATGCCAAGGGATATCAGAAAAATTACGTTCTTAACCTGAATTACAGCCTAAAAATAAACATAAACCTTTAGAGTGCAAGGCAATGGCTTGATCATAATGCCACTGTGAAGCCATTACTAGAAAGTTATTATCTCAACACAGAGCTTTCCAAACTGTGTATCACAACTCAATAGTGTGCCAGCTACAGCGTGAAGGTGTGTCATACAAACATAAAGCATTAAACAGAATAACCGGCATGCAAAACCGCAGTTACTGTAGTTAGTCAATTTGTTTTATTATTGTTGCTCATATAATTCTAACACTATTTCCAGAAATATTATATGCTTGTGAAAATAAAAACTAAAGTGTTTTCATTATCACAATTTATGTATTATCCGTTCTGTTATAAAGGGCTGGGGTTAATCTCTGGTTTGCTAGCAGACTGAATTATTATTATTCTTCTTCTTCAGCAATACAAGCCCTTGAGGTTCATTGCTGCAGATATCACCCGCCTCCATTCAACTCTCTGGTTTGCCTTCTCTTTCCAGTTGATGACACCAAGTGTTTGCAGGTCTGTCTGGACATTATCTCTCCATATTCTCCTTGGTCTACCTCGTGGTCTACGACCATTTATCTCCCTTGTGTATAGACTGAATTATTATGTAACAAAACTATGTTTGTCACAAAAGTGTGCAACCAACATGACAAATTTGGAAAGATCTGCTCTAACACAAAATTTTCCTGGACCAGCAAGGGTTCAGTAACAAAAATAACTGCACTAAAGCTAGAAACTTGATGTTTAACTTACAGCAACATGGCACAGCAAACTGAAATAAGATAATCAAATCTGTTGGGATCAGAAAACAAAGAGTCCCAGATTCTGAGCACTTCTGAAATAAAAGGTATAAAATATCTTAATAATTCAGATATGTACAAGACTTTTAGGACATACTATGTTAGTGGGAAAGTTACTGAAAGAATGAGTGTAAAATTATATGTTGAGATAAAAATCAACATCACAGCACTCGGAACACCCCCATGAGTGCTCTGTCCCCATCTCCAGCAGCAAGCGAAGAGTTAAAATTCTCGCCTTTTCCCTGAGTATCGAGTGTCGGCCAGATCCCCTTGTAACTTGTTGCAGTGCAATTCTCCTCATACCGTAATAATCTATCTGTGCCTCGGCACTGTTCACTCGCTCCCAAAGGGCCCTCACAACATCCAGCTTGTCATACATCAGTTTACCACCAAGTGGTGCAGAACTGGCCAGTCTATCTGCTTGCTTATTTCCCACCGGCATAACCTCGAAAAAATATCCAAAGAATGCTAACTACCTTTAGAGTGATGCTTGCCACTCTGCAGTGCATGTGTTAAATTAAAAGTGACAAATAATTAAGGCTTGTAAAGAAAAAGAGACAAAAAGAGAAGAAGAAACAGGAGAAAAAGAAGGAGGAGGAAGAAAAGAAGGAGGAGGAAGAGAAGAAAGAGGAGAAGAAGAAGGAGGAGAAGAAATGCTCAAACTGACCCGGTAGCTGAAACTCCTGTGACAACAGCAATGTTATCCACCTGAAGGCGTAAAACTGGGGCCTCAGTTCTTGATCCTGCAGTCTTTGCCACAGTGGTCTGTCATACTCTTTGACCATATCCATCAACTGGTTCATCTTACTGCCTGTGATGCCAACAAAATTATGTTTGTCCCGTTCCGGAATATTCTGATAAATCTAAAATTCATACATTTTTTTTTTTTAAATTACTATCTGAAAAATTTTTTGAGAAGTGGCAGAGACAAGGTTTTATAGACAAAAGATGAGAATACCCTGGACAAATTAAAAATAGTAATTAGGACGTTGGTGCTTTGTTAATATCCTACCCCAAAAAGGGGAAATCCACAGGCCATGGGAGTCTAATACTTCAGGGGGTGGCAGATAGTCTGCATTCAGTTGTGGGACCTAGGCTGCATGCATTCGTGAGACCTAGGCTGCACTCTCTCGTGGGACGTAGGTGGGTTGGGGTTAGGGCCAGTTTAGGATGTTTTGGGGTCGTTAAAAGCATCAGAAAGCCGGGACACCCAATCTTACCACCCTTTAAAATGTGACGTCATCTGGGGTAGGATATTAATAAAGAACCAAGACGAAAGAAACTGACTCACACAAAGAACCGACTGCCTGCTTCAGAAGGAGACAATCTACACCTTTTTGGTCATGTCATGAGAAGGAGAAAACTGAAGGACATTGTGACAGTGGACAGCTGAAGGAGAAAAGAGCAGAGGGAGACAGAGAGAAAAGTAGCTGGACAGTCTGACATCCTGGCATAGAATATCATTTGAATCAGAACTGACTAAAAATATGTGAAACTGAAGGTTGTGAATAGACATGACACACGACATGAACTATAAGAAGAAAGTTATAAAAGCAAAAAAAAACCATTTGGTTAATTTTAGACTTCCATCATGAGACATACAGTGTAATAACAGACTATATGATTTATTTCCTTCAGTTATCCGTGTATTATGGACAGACTAGAGCAAGTCATTATCCTATGCCTTAGAACCGGGCACAATCCATGTCGCAACCATATGTACACAAAATTTAAGACTGGCGAATCAGCCATGAGCACAAGTGGACTGGCACCTGAGACAACAGATCACATCCTCCAAGACCATCCCAAATACAATGTTTCCAGACAAAACTTCTGGCCAAGAGAGACACTGGTGGAGGCCAAACTTTATTGGCTGCTAAGTTCATTACAAAAGACACTGAAGTTCAAACTAGTGACATCACTGCAGTTATAGACAATTTATGACAAGTGAACGAAAGAAGAAGAAGTTATCCCTGTCACCCTCAGGAAGCTGATTTTTAGACTTATGTTTTTTACGGGTGTGAATCATGGACAGTTAGCAAACAAGTGAAATTTTTTTTGGAAGCTGTGGGGATGTGGTTTTATAGACGAATGATGAGAATACCCTGGACAGATAAAAAGAGTAATGAAGATGTCTTGAAAGAAACTGGCTCACAAAGAGAACTGATTGCATACGTCAGAAAAAGACAATCTACATTCTTTGGTCATGTGATAAAAGGAGAAAACTGGAGTACATCAGGATGGTAGGAAAGTTGGTGGGAAGGAGAGGCAGAGGGAGACTGAGAGAATAGATGCTGGACAGTTTGACATCATGGCATGGAAGATCATCTGTGTCAGAGTTGATTGAAAGGTTGTGGATAGACATGACTACCAATGCCACACGGCATTGACTCTAAGAAGAAGATGTTCTTTTGATGACATGTGATAACTGTTACAGGAAAAATCTGATTAACTCTCTCATGACAACAGTTTCATGCTACAATCATTTTTATCATCTATTTAGTTTGACCAGCGAAGAGAAAACAAAACAGATACTATAATTTCTTTCATAAATCTAAGTTCATTCTTCAACCATTGTTACTGTTAAAATGTTTCTAGATATTTGTATGGTGCCAGTTTAGTGCTGTCCATCAGTAAACCTTTTCTGGATGAGGGCTTAATTTAATGGCCACAAAGGGAAGCTGTCAGGAGGGGTAATCTGCTCTGTCTAGCTATTTATTTAGTTAAGCTTTTTCCAGGCATCTGAATTCCGCTTTCCCATTTCTGGGGATGTTCAGTCGGCTCACTTAATTTCACTAGCTAATTCAAGTCGGTGTCTGTGTATCCTTGCATGGATTTTTATCATGGTATGCAGCATCGCAGGTTGACCCAGCCTTAAATGAGTACCAGGATGTATGTCCTGCAAAAGTAAAGACGGCTGACAACATTACCCACTCAGTGCTGATTGGTTTTCTGTAAAAATATGGGTGCTCCTCCCATATGCCCCTAAGGCAGAAAAAGGGATCTTTACTTTTACTTTACTTACTTATCTGTCTGCACTCTGTCTGCACTTATCATCAAATGGCAACTGTCTCAGATTTTCCCTTGGATTAAGGAGGATTTAAACCCATACCCACCACCTATCTGAGTAAAATAAAGCTGCTGTTGTTGTTGTTGCTGCTGATCCAGTGGTGCATCAGCTTTCGCCCTCTGGCCCAATGCCATGTAGTGGAATCTGCATGTTTTCACAAGCTGTTCTTGTCCTCCGTACAAGCTGTTCCATGACAGTCATCACAGCCAATGGCTCTAAAGATTCTTCTTTCGTCGTCTTCCCATTTTTCAAATAGTTTTTTTAGGTTGACATGAATTTTGTCGTAAATGACCTTGGTGTCTTAGTCCTATTTCAAAACACATGCAGACACAGAACACAAAATCAACTAAAACAAACGGGAAAATACTGTTGGTGTAGTCCTGGTCTTACCGATCCCACATTGAGAATCATCCAGAGTTTTGATGAAAAAGTCTCGAATCTCACCCATCAACCCAGTGAAGCAGAAAAAGGAATCTGCTTCTGCATGTTCTACAGATAAACAGAAACCAAAAAATATCTGATCAAATGGACTTCTTCTTTTTCTGCCCTTTATCCCCCCCCCCCCCCCCCCCCCCCATTCTAGGTTTTCCTAAATATATGGTGTAGCCAGGTGACTCCAGTTTCTCCACAGGCCTGTACTGATCATCTTCACAGACATATTTAATTCTATTGCAGCAATGAATTCCTGTGTGATCTGCTGGTGTCTGCTTAAATCAAACAATGTATGGTATGTTATTATATGTGTGTGTTTTATATATATATATATATATATATATATATATATATATATATATATGGTTAGTTTACAGGACGTTGCAGAACCAACCCCAGCAGCCCCTGGCTGTTGTGTGGTCTCTCTAGGCAAATTTACGTCCAGTAGTTTGCCATTGCTTTCTGGACAGTTGGCTCCCTCATACCACTATTGAAACCAACCCAAGGTGCTTGGCCCGCAGCTAGGATCGAACCCGGCACCCCGGCATTACGAAGCGTTCGCATCGACTTAGCCACAGAGAAAGTTTTATATATATATATTTCACACGCCAATCAACACACAATGATAGATGTTTCAATATGATGCTTGCCGCCTTTACTTTCTAGACCAGGAAGCCCAGATTAATTTTTAAACTACTTCCTCTTTAACTCTTTCTATCCCAAGCCACGCATCATGTGTGAGTTCATATTATTCATGTGTTCCCCTCAGTAAGTTACCAATGTTTTTATTTTTGAGGTTTAGTGAAGGATTCGTCAAATAAAACTCACACAAAATTGTTGTATCCATTCAAGGACTGGGTATTTAGACCCTGTGGAAGTAGTATACCCAGCAGTTTAGTACTGTCATGCTGGTCTCTCTCAGATATTAGCTAAGACTTTCTGGGACTGAAAGAATTAAGAACCCATGTCAATTTTTAAAATACTCCCTCTTTAAGAGTCCAAGTAAATTTTTTAAATATTCCCTCTTTAAGAGTCCAGGTAAATTTTTTAAATACTCCCTCTTTAAGAGTCCAGGTAAATTTTTAAAATACTCCCTCTTTAAGAGTCCAGGTAAATTTTTAAAATACTCCCTCTTTAAGAGTCCAGGTAAATTTTTTAAATACTCCCTCTTTAAGAAACTCTGACACAGATGATCCTCCATGCCATGATGTCAGACTTTCCAGTATCTTTTCTCTCATTCTTCCTCTCCACCCCTCGAACTATCCAACTGTCACGATGAACTCTAGTTTTCTCCTTCTTATCACTGACTAAAGAATGTAGATTGTCTCCTACTAATGTGGACAATCAGTTCTCTTTATGAGTCAGTTTCTTTCAAGACATCCTCATTACTCTCTTCATCTATCCACGGTAATCACATCTTCGCAGCTTCCAAATAATTGTTCACTAATCTACTAATGGTCCATAATTCACTTCCACATATCAAGATAAGATTTATATATCTTTTAAGAATTCTTTTTCTCGTCTCAACTGACAAAGAAAGATTGCATAAAATACAATGTGTTCTCCAAGGAAAGTCAAATATCAAAAGGATTTAAACATATGATCCCCATAAATAAACATATTACCTGATTTATATTTCAGGCTTTCGGTGAGATTAGTTATGAGTTAGATTATCTTTACAGCACTCCGGACACATCCATAGGCGCTCAGATTCACCTCTCAACATATCCATCAGCGTTGCGCTGTTAATAGTGCCAGTCCTATGTTGGTTAACAAGAATTTGTGTGAAGTCTTGTTATCCAACATAGGACTGGCACTATTAACCATGCAATGCTGATGAATCGCCGAGACATGATCTATCACATAATTCAGCAGATTGGACACAAAATATGCATTTTTATTCTTTCTATTCCTCCTTAATGTTTTCAAAGCATTACACAATAATGACCTCTAACAAAGACAACATGATCAGAAAATAAAAATGGAAATATTTTAACACACATACTTCTGCATTCCTGATCAGAATCTGTAGCAAATGTGTAGTAGATGGGACCAAGAATCTCATTCATACCCTTAGAACAGAAAATACAAAATCAATATTAGCAACTAAAGAAATGAAACAAATTAGGAAAATAAAATATAACATCATTCTTCTTCTTCTTTTCTTTTAGCCTTTAAAAGGGCAGTTGGCGTATTTTGGGTTCCAGCCAGACTGTTATATCTGAACCTTTCAGCCCAAAACATCCAGTTTCAGTACATCCTCAATTTAGTTGTCTTTTACCCCATGCTTGTTAAGTAGAAGTGAGTCTTCCCCCCCCCCCCTACTCCCACCCTCCCCACCCCAACCTCATGCCACAAAATGGGGGACATAATTCTTGTGTATTGACACAGTATTCTTTGCATATATACTCACAGCAGGTTTCAATCTCATTCTGAGTGTAGCGCCCACACAGGGTTGGCTTTTCTCTGCATTCTCTACCTGGCACAGCTAAGTGATGAGCAGTTCTGAAAACTCCTTCTGTACACTGTGCGCATGCCTGTTTGTGTGTGCATGCGTGTGTATTTATATATATATATAGTTATACAGATAATAAACTCTACAAAAGTTTAAGTTGTGGTCCCATCTAGCACTGCAGCCAGTAGTGTTGAGGGCAGCTAGCTTTCCTAGAAGGGTAAAAAGTCCAAATGTGTAGCCCGCTGCCGTCTGGAGATCACACAAGCCAACCCCACCCCACCGTGGTGCAGACTGGAAAATATCTGTGAGGATGCAACCAACAAAGGAATGGCTACCTGGAGAGGATTGGGCCCCGCCAGGGTTAAAATACTGCCAGAGATGCACCACGTTGACTGATTCAGCTGAACTCGAAAAGAAGATACAAGCGCTGGAAATGAGAGCTTTCAGAAAAATTCCTGGCATATCATACAGGGACTATAATACAAATGATGAGGTTCACCTCATGATTATCCTACACCCTGGCAGCAATGAAACTGTTAACTACAGTGAAAAGTCAACAAATGCAATGGTATGGACATGTAATAAGATCTAACCGCCTCTCAAAAACAGTATTACAGGGCTCAGTAGAGGGGAAGAGAAGAAGAGGCAGACGAAGAAAGACCTGGATCCAGAACTTGACAAGCCTTAGGCATGCAACCATGAACTCCACTGCAACTGACCATCAAAGGTGGAGGGAGCTGATCAGTCATCGGCAACTGGCGAACCAACAACATGCAGTGTTACCAGACGAAGATGATAATGATGTATAAAACTGGATCAAACTCACTTGTACATATCCAAGACCTGGATTCAATTTTGCATACAAAAACAGAATCCGCTCCACAACCTCCCAGTGAGCCTCCTTGCCATCTGGAAGCAGTGCGTACTCATCGCTGGCTGATCGTTTCTTTACTGTAATCTATACAGACACATTTAACACAAGAGTTCTTACAGGTGCCTTCTCCTCAAGAAGTTAATGCATTCTTCTCCAAGTTAATCATCTTTGTCTTTACCATTGAAATCATCACATATTTTCCTTCGTCAGGCAAATCACCTTACATTTTTGTCTGGCAAATCACCACATATTTTTCCCTTGCAAATCACTCTATATTTTGTATCAAGTAAATCACCTTGTATCTTTACCATGCAAATCACCTTACATCTAAACCCTGCAAATCACTTTACTTTTACCTTGCAAATAACTTAATATTTGTTACTATGTAAAAACCATATATGTCAAAAAATTAGTTTTCCCTAAATTTCTGGTATACCATGTAGTTATTTAAAAGGACCCTTCTTTGATGCCTCCGGGCATATTGGGTTAGACCTAACTTTTTTACACCAATCAGCATTAGGTGGGTGATGTGGACAGCATTATGCCTGCCATCTTAACTTTCCAGGACTTTACCTGGTACCAATTTAAGGCTGGGTTGACATGGGTCAAGTTTAAAAAAAAAATAATAATCTGGCACTATGTGAATTTGAATCCACCTTTTCTGAATCCATAGGTATCTAGCCACTAGACCACGACGGCTTGCCTATATATATATATATATAGTGTGCAGATACCCCAGAGTACTAAAGTGAATCTTATCAGAACTATTTTTTAACCAACACTATGCTATCAGTGCCAAAAGTGGACACTTACATCCTCCAATGAACGTTAAATTGTGACAACAGAGATGAAATGCCTTAGAAGAGCTGCAGGAGTTTCAAGGAAAGACAGAATACGAAATCAGACGATGCTAGGAATAAAGCCAGTCTTACAGGTCATCAAAGAACAATAAATGAAGTGGTTTGGACACCTCACAATACCCTGGCACTATCTACCACATCGAGCCACACTAAAACATTACAACGGGTATAGGGCGAGTGGAAGACCTAGGAAAATATGGAGTGATGGCATTAAGAACAGCCTTACAGAAATTAACATCAGTCTTACTACAATATGTTACACCCCCCCTCCCCGACACTTCGCTGGTGGAAGAGAAGATGGAGAAGTGTGAAGATAAACACTGAGACCATCAAGAGAACTTGCCTGATACTTATGCTATCACAATCAACATCACTGCACACTGGACCTTCCCATGTAGGCTCAGTTCTCCGAAGCAGCAGCCACCTCAAGCCAGCTCTACTGACTGCAACCACCTCAAGCTATCTCTACTGACTGCAACCACCTCAAGGTATCTCTACTGACTGTAGCCACCTCAAGGTATCTCTACTGACTGTAGCCACCTCAAGCCATCTCTACTGACTGCAACCACCTCAAGGTATCTCTACTGACTGTAGCCACCTCAAGGTATCTCTACTGACTGTAGCCACCTCAAGCCATCTCTACTGACTGTAGCCACCTCAAGGTATCTCTACTGACTGTAGCCACCTCAAGGTATCTCTACTGACTGCAGCCACCTCAAGGTATCTCTACTGACTGTAGCCACCTCAAGCCATCTCTACTGACTGTAGCCACCTCAAGGTATCTCTACTGACTGTAGCCACCTCAAGCCATCTCTACTGACTGCAACCACCTCAAGGCATCTCTACTGACTGTAGCCACCTCAAGCCATCTCTACTGACTGTAGCCACCTCAAGGTATCTCTACTGACTGTAGCCACCTCAAGGTATCTCTACTGACTGTAGCCACCTCAAGGTATCTCTACTGACTGCAGCCACCTCAAGGTATCTCTACTGACTGTAGCCACCTCAAGGTATCTCTACTGACTGTAGCCACCTCAAGGTATCTCTATTGACTGTAGCCACCTCAAGGTATCTCTACTGACTGTAGCCACCTCAAGGTATCTCTACTGACTGTAGCCACCTCAAGGTATCTCTACTGACTGTAGCCACCTCAAGGTATCTCTACTGACTGCAGCCACCTCAAGGCATCTCTACTGACTGCAACCACCTCAAGGCATCTCTACTGACTGTAGCCACCTCAAGGTATCTCTACTGACTGCAGCCACCTCAAGATATCTCTACTGACTGTAGCCACCTCAAGGTATCTCTACTGACTGTAGCCACCTCAAGGTATCTCTACTGACTGTAGCCACCTCAAGGTATCTCTACTGACTGTAGCCACCTCAAGGTATCTCTACTGACTGTAGCCACCTCAAGCCATCTCTACTGACTGTAGCCACCTCAAGCCATCTCTACTGACTGTAGCCACCTCAAGGTATCTCTACTGACTGTAGCCACCTCAAGGTATCTCTACTGACTGTAGCCACCTCAAGGTATCTCTACTGACTGTAGCCACCTCAAGGCATCTCTACTGACTGTAGCCACCTCAAGGTATCTCTACTGACTGTAGCCACCTCAAGGCATCTCTACTGACTGTAGCCACCTCAAGGTATCTCTACTGACTGTAGCCACCTCAAGGCATCTCTACTGACTGTAGCCACCTCAAGCCATCTCTACTGACTGTAGCCACCTCAAGGTATCTCTACTGACTGTAGCCACCTCAAGGTATCTCTACTGACTGTAGCCACCTCAAGGTATCTCTACTGACTGTAGCCACCTCAAGGTATCTCTACTGACTGTAGCCACCTCAAGGTATCTCTACTGACTGCAGCCACCTCAAGGTATCTCTACTGACTGTAGCCACCTCAAGGTATCTCTACTGACTGTAGCCACCTCAAGGTATCTCTACTGACTGTAGCCACCTCAAGGTATCTATACTGACTGTAGCCACCTCAAGGTATCTCTACTGACTGCAGCCACCTCAAGGTATCTCTACTGACTGCATCCACCTCAAGGTTTCTCATCAGAAGTTGGTTACAATGTAACCTATTTTGATCTTGAAGACTGCACTGATGTGCTTCACCAGGCTTCAATCCTAGATGATGCAGTCATGTGAGAGATTTGTTACTATCTAGTCTGTATAGCTTTGACGATATTAGGTAAATTGATGCATCTCCCCGCATGGAATGATGCAATACTTGCCAGCTGATCTGCCTGTTTGTTATCTTTTACTCTGGCACTGCCCACATTGCAGATCCAGGTGAGGAAGGGTTAGTTAGGTATGGCTTCTGTGTTGCCTACCCATTTAGAGCTGAGGCTGCCGGTTAAGATTTTCTAAAGCATGTTTAATGAGTCTGATATGATCATCGTGTGTGAGTGGCTGCTTGTTCTGCTGCCAGACAAGTGCTCTTGAACCAGTGGCTCTCCATGGTCATGTGCGCCATTATAATCATGTATTGTTTTCTCCATCCTTTGTGCTGTCCTACCTTGATACACATCTCACGGACCCATTTGTGTAGACGATGATTTCTTCTGGACAGTAATGCCGATCTATCAGTGCTCTTATTTCAGACTACCTTGATGGGATTCTTGTTTCTGTAATACCTCCCTAATGTGATGACAACCTTACAGTATTTTGTATTTATACACAGTGGCTGGTTTATCCATCCATTCTTTTCTGTGTCTGAGCTCATTCAGATCACATACCTGGTAGATCATAATTTCAGCCTCGGCCATCCTGACTGTGTAAACCAGGGCTACTCAAATGGCGGCCTACGGGCCAAATCTGTCCTGCCAAGGCCTAGCAAGTGGCCCGCGGATCACTTCTAGCTGTATTGTATTTTTTATCTTTCTATGCTGAGGCTGGTGCCTCTGGCCTGTGACCATCCCCGTTTTGGAACAGTTTGGCCTCTGAGCCAACTTAGTTGAATAGCCCTGGCGTAAACATTCCCACAGAAGAAAAGGTAAGAGGAGAAGGAGGAGGACGACCAGACTAGCTCACATTAAAATAGATGCCCATCCGATTCCTAGCCACAGTTTCTGACTGCAGGACGCAGTGTTCCACTCTCTTCCTCAAAGTCTCCACATTGGATGTGGCACTGACTAGATCCTCACATGGGAAGTCTGTAGCTTGCTGGAAGAAAGACAAGTCTGGGCACAGGCGTCTGCAAGTCAAATATGAATAACATATAATCATCATCATTGTCAGTGAAAAAGTAAAAATTTACAAGACTATTTCAATGCCTGTGGTGTCTTGAACATTTGATGACAGACTCATATTTACCAAGATCAATCAGCACTTGATGGGTGATGTAGTCAGCTGGCCACCTTTACTATCCAGAACATTTCCTGTACATATTTTAGGCTGCACTGACACTGGAATCATTGTCAGTGGTTTGTGTTATCTGTTGCCTGTAAGATTGTTTTCAACCTCCTCCTTTTCTACATAACACTGTATGTAAGGCTTTGGGTGGAAAAAAGGGGGGGGGGGGGGAGAGGAAGTATTATGTTTCCATTTCTTCCTTGCTGTTTTTAACTTTCCCTCTATCTATTGTGGATTCAAGAGAAAGGACTTTTATGTGGTTTTCTTCATGCATTCACATCCGGCTACTGAATTTTCTAACCACATATGAAATCTGAACTGTTTTTTGGTTTTTAAAAATATAGGGTTGGCACCATATATCCAGTATGTCGAAAGACATAAGACCTTTGCATTTACTCAATCAATTAGAGAAGACACACTGATATTCTATGATTGTTAGGAGAAAGAATGACCATATAGGAAAGAACTCTATTTACCAGCATGCAACCAACACTTTTAAAAACACAGGACTTTTACATTCATCCATTTACTCAGTCAATGAGAGACACACTGGTATTCTGTGATTATTAAATAAAAGAATGATCACACAGGAAATAACTTTATTTAGCACCATATAACCAATACCTCTAAAGACAGGACACCTTTATGCTTACCGATTTACTCAATCAATCAGAGACACACTGGTAATCTGTGATTATTAGCAGAAAGAACGATCACATAGGAAAGAACTCCATTCCTATACTTTATTAATAATGACAAAGTTTTCCACAGATTTTATAGACATTACTCTTTAAGACCCTAGATCCGTGGTTGGCCAATCGTAGCTTGCGAGCCACATGTAGGTCTTTAGTGACCTGCGTGTGGCTCGGCCATTTGGCCCCAAATCGATTTTGACTCTAAAAAACATGGTTCTTGACAAGAAATTTTGGTTTCATTCTGCTGCTGATTTTTGACTCTTTCGACTAAAGAGTTTGCCCACTACTATCTTAGAGCAATACAGAACCTAATTTTTAAGATGTTACAACTTCCTGTGTGGGTTCCGGGGGCCTCATTGTGGGGGAAAAAAGATAAGATCCACTGCCCCCTTTCTTAAACATGTCGTAAGAGTAATTAGGGATGTTTTCTTCGAAGTCAGAGTGCGTCTGCCTGCTCGGTGAGGAACCAACAGTATGCATACAAAAAAGCCATATGTGTAAAATGTATGTGCTTGCAAAACTATGAAACAAGACTAAAGTCCAAAAGTGAGTGAACAACCAGAACTTTCCGCCAGAGTTTACAGATGTTGAACGCAAAGAAAAGGATTCTAGAATAAAGAAGAATAGAAAACAAATCAATAAGATGCCTATACACCAATCAAGAAGCAATTATATTCATTAAAGTCTCATTATCATGTCACCATGCTCATCAGCACTGTGATGTCATGTGCTTAACACTCTTGACTTTCTTAAGAACAATACTGACAGATTACAAGACAATGGCAAGATTAATGTAATTTCTACCACTCTTTTAAGGTCTGCATTTGGAGCACCCCCTCGTAGCAATGGCCCCTTTCCATCTTTACGGATGACGCTATACTGTACTTAATGAAAGCATGAGAATTACAGCATACAGCAAGTGTGACAAGCAAGACCTGCTCACGGCTTTTAAAAACAAACAACAAAATGTTTTACACAATTAGAAAATGGGATTGCAGGATTCTTGACGCCATCACATGTATTTATGCTTGTTCTCAGAAGCTCAGCTCTGAATCTGTCTGCGATAATTGTCTCCTCTATCTTAACTTCCTTCCCCGTGTGGGTTTCGAGGGCCCCATTGTTGAGGAAAACAAGAATAGACCCACAGCTTCCCCAAAAAGCATGTTGTAATAGTAGACTAACTGGGGGGCTTAATTCAAAAAAGTCAGAGTGCATCTGCCCGAGAGGCAAGGACCAGCAGTCTGCATACAAATAAGCAATATCTGTAAAACTGATGCACATGCAGAACTCGGGTTCCGGAACAAAGCCAAAGTCCGGAATTGAACGAACAATCAGGTCTTTTCGCCGGAGTTTACAGCTGATAAAAGCAAACAACAACAATGTCCTTCCTGACCACCCCCCCCCCCCCCTTTCCCATTTTCACGCAACATGGTTCATGGCACCTGTTTCCACAAACTCACCTCAATACCTGTATGTATCATCCATATCCAACTGGCACGCTTCTTTATATCATAAAAGAGATGGTCTGCCATCTCAGCATCTTCTACCCATCTGTGAAACACCACAGAGGATGTTCTGTGAAGATAACCATGTGCAACAAAAGAAATAACTCTGCCATTACCAGTCCTAAGCCCCGATGAGAAAGGAGGAGGGCTGGACATGGGGCCAGCTCCCCCACCCTCTCAAACCTCTACACCCCAAGGTAGAAGAGGAGCAACTAAGTAAGTAAGTAAGCAAGCACAGACTAGAGTAAGTCATTATTCTGCGCCTTAGAACAGGGCACAATCGACTTTGCAGCCACATGTACACAAAATTTAAGATCAGCCATGTGCACAAGTGGACTGGCAACTGAGACAATAGATCACATCCCCCAAGACTGTCCCAAATACAACATTTCAGGCAAAACCTCTGGCCAGACTTTATGGGCCGCTAAGTGAACTACAAAAGACAATGAAATTCACACTAGAGATAGCATTGCAGATATAGATAATTTATTTCAAATGAACAAAAGAAGAAGAAGCAAGTAAGCCAGCTCCTGGTAAAAAAGGATAAAGGGATTAAGGAGGCGAGGATGCCCAAAAGAAACATTCAGATGAACGTCGATGAGAGAGGCCAAAGCTGCTGGATTGGGTTCTATCCATAATATTGAAATGATTGCACAGGATAAAGCGGAATGGAGGACCAGATCTTGAGCTCTGTGTGACGTATAATGGCACACCAGGATAATGAATGCATGAACAAAAGAAATAATTCACAGAGCAAACATTATGTCTTCAAACAACAAACCTGCAGTCTTTATCTATCTGAATCAGCTGCTCGTTATCTTTGAATGCCCCACTCCATTCACTATCTGGGTTCAGATTCAAGGGCTATAGAAATAATGCACAGAGGATAAGTACTCCATAAATTATTGTATAATCACTGTAGTTTGCTAAATTGTAAAATGTATCTATATAAAACAATGGGGCCACACACTATCCCCCACAGCAAATAAACTGACACTAATTAGGGAATTTAATTTAACTATTTCGGCTCTAGATAGCTGTTATTTAAACTTGTTTTAGTCTAAGACAGGGCTAGTAAACGTCTTCTACAGGATAAACAATTAACCTTCTTCTTCTGTTTTGTTGTTGTCAATAGCAGTGAGGCACCCCTCGACAAATAATGAGGCCGCGGCAAACAGGATAGCAAGACAACAATTTCTGTAGTAACCAAGCATCTGACGAGATACAGCAACAACAACAAAAATACCAGGTAATAAACTGTTCTATTTGTTGCTCGTCTTTCTCATTCAAATGTTCAGAAATCAGATGATTTTCAAAACGACGGCTTCCTGCTGTGAATTTAAATAATATTGTATACAAAAAATACACTGTTTAATATACTGCCTGCCACATTTTTGTTTATGTATATACTTGCACAAAAAGGGACAGGGTTATGAATACCAGCATGAGGGAGAACATTGGAACAAGACCGTGTCTTAATTATACTGACAGACAAAGAATGAAATGGTTCATCCATCTAGTGAGAATGCAACCAGACACTACTGCATAGGAAATTTTATACAGCAGAACATCTGGGAGGAAGGCAATGGAAAGACCAAGAAAGAGATGGATAAATGGTGTAGGTGAAACCTGCAAAAACGATGAAAAAATCCATCACTCAAGCCCCAGAGAAGCACATGATAAATATAGAAAACCACGACACCCGGTTACAACCTGGTATCAGTGACAAGACAAAAGAAGAAGTTATGCACCTTATAAGATGCAGCAAAATAGGCCAGGTTATTGTATTTTTTTTTCCCCCAATCTATGCCATTAGAGTTTAGAAAAGACTTTCTTGTCTGCCAGTTTTAAAATATGGCTGTGAATCCTGGATAAACAAGCCAGTTATTTTTTGTAGGGTCTCAGAGATGTGGTTTTACAGAATAAGCCTCCAAATTCCTTAGACTACCATAAAGAGCAACACAGATGTTTTGAAAGACAAGGGAGCCCATAAAACTACTCATCAGAAACATCAGCAAGGACAGCCAAAATTGTTTGTCATGTTATGAGAAGAAGGAAACTAGGACACGCTGTTACCACTGAAAAGGTACGTGGAGAAGGAGATAGAGGAAGACAACATGAGAAGATTCTTGACACCCTGTTGTCATGGCATGATGGAGGGGTGACAGCACATTAACTGATACATGCCTTTAAAGATCACAGGTTGTGGAGAGGTATGATTGCCCACCCGGTTTGGCAAGGCACCGGATGATGATTATATGCTTACATGATCTTCCAGTTCACCATTAACGGACTCCTTTGACTTCATTTTCTTGCCTGGAAGAATGACTATCTCCTCCAAATAGTGTTCATAAAGATTCCTGCAAGAATGTTATATAAACCATTATATATTTATTGCTGAACAAATAATTACCAGACAAACAATTATTTTGAAAAACTCCTCCACAAATATATTATAAATTATTTTGAATAATTTCCACCCTAAATATAATATAAACCATTTTATATAATTCACAACACATTTTAATATAACCCTTTTAGGAAAAAATACTTTCGCACAAGGGCACTAGAGTAAAGGACCCTTTTCCATGCCTTTACATGTATGGGCATACAGGGCTAGACTTATATTTTACAGACCAATCGGCACTGGGTGATGTGGTCAAAATCGCATGTGCTGCCTTCACTTCCAAGGACTTTACATGGTACCCATCTAAGGCAGAGTCGGCATAGGATTTAGGATCATTTTTTTTTAAAGTCTGGCTCCATCAAGACCTAAATCTATGACCTTGAGATCTGCAGGCGAGCATACAATTTTAATAACAAAAAGATCATATCTAGGAAAATATAATCTAGTACAATTGTTTCTTCTATATAAGATGTTATCAGATATATGATATTCCCTGTGTGGGTTCTGGGACCCCACTGTGGGAGCAACCAGAAGAGACCCACTGCCTCCCTAACAAGCTTGTCATTTTTGTCGACTTACTGAGAGCTTCCTTAGAAGTCGAAGTGCATCTGCCCAAGCGACAAGGAACAACCAAGTGCACATAAATAAAACAGATGTACATGCAAAACTCCGGCCCTGGCATCAAGCCAAAGTCTTAATAGAGGAACAGCCAGGACTTCCTGTCACAGCCTTCAGCTGGTGAACACCGAAGAGTTCCTCCAACCTTCAAAGATTTCAGGATGTCACAAATCTATACTGTTATGATTATTCTTCTAGATTTCACCATTATATATTTTTTTAATGTCTGGTCTAGATTTAATCATTAGATATTGTATGCGTCTGTTCTAGATTTCATTATTAGTTATTTTTATGTCTATTCTTTAATATTTCATCATTAGATATTGTTGTGTCTGTTTTTTTAGATTTTATCCTAGACACAGTTATATATATGTTCTCGTTCTCTTTCCTTTATTTTTACAGTTGATGTGAAAGTTTCCTAGTGTGGGTTCTGAGGGCTGCATAGAAGAGATGGGAAGGGGGAGAGGTGAATAAAGCCATGTCATAAAAGGTGACCTGATTAAGGATTTGCTGACACTGGATATGTTAGGTCAAAATATGCAGATATCACAGCCTATCTGTAAACCACAACATAACTTGCCAACCTTCTTTTTAAGGACAAAGGCAGAAGAATGATAAATGAAAGTTCTTTATATCACCCTGTTTTAATGTTTTATTTGTATTTAAGTCTTCTTCTTTCTTCTTTGCGTTCACCAGCTGTACACTCTGGCGGAAAGTTCTGGTTGCTCGTCCACTACTGAACTGCAGTCCTGCTCCAGAACCCGAGTGTTGTGTGTGCATCAGTTTTACAGATCTCATTCTCTTGAATACAGACTGTTGGTTCCTTGCCTCTCCGGCAGATGCACTCCGACTTCAAAGGAAGCTCCCCAATTAGTCGACTCTTACAACATGTTTTTGGGGAGGCAGTGGGTCTATTCTTGTTTTCCCCACAATGGGGCTCCAGAACCCACACGGGGGTGTATTTCAATGACATATTCCTTATATATATATATATATATAGGAACGGGAGAAGAGCAAGACCAAAGAGTCACTACTTGGGTGAGAATCCCCCCAAGTACAGATTTAAGTTCAACATTACGATTATACCTAGATCCCCAACAGTTACAAAGTATCCTGAAGTAGGGACTGGGTAGGGTATTGTACATGTCGGATGTTGAATCGACATCACAGCACTCAGGACACCCCAATAAGCGCTTCGTCCCCATCTTCAGCAGCGAGTGAAGAGTTAAAATTCCAATGGTACCAGTAACTGTCTGATTGTATATCCGTCTCGCCTTTAGCCTGAGTGTCGAGCGTCGACCAGAATTCCAGACACTCCGTTTTTCGCATGACTCTCCAGGCTCCAGCTCTCCTATTTCTATGACTTCTCTTCTCTCCATTTTCTTGTCCTCTTCTCCTCCCACTCTCTCGATTGCCGTCTGAAGATGGTATCAAGCACCGAGCACGCACTACGTAGCTTCAGCAATGATTCTTTTTATTATTAAATACAAAATCCATAGAAAAAATATTATTGTTCATTAACTGCACTATAAAAAGAGCTGACATAAAGATCATTTAGGAGTGAACAAATTAGGTGGGTATGCACCCAAAAAAAAATTATATCAGAAACAGATAAAAGTAAAAAGGGCCTTTTCCCCACGCTTTTCAGGGTATTGGATATATAGGGCTAGGCCTATATTTTATAGACCAAAGGGCACTTGGTGGGTGATGTGGTCAGCATCACACTGGCCGCCTTTACTTCCCAGGACTGTACTTGTACCCACTCAAGGCTAGCTCGACCTGGGAGCTAAGGTGATAATTGAAAAAAGTCCGGCCCCTGTCAGGACTCAAACCCACAACCTTTTGACCCGCAGGCCAGCATCTAGCCACTAGACCATGGCTGGCTCCCATAGAAACAGGTAATAATATACAATATATTACAGTGTTTATAAAGATGGGAAATAAGGAAGAACAAGGAACAATAAAGAAGGTGTATTTTACCTTCGTTTCTGCATTACTGCCTCCCATTCACTCTTCACAAGAGGCAGGTAGTTCAACAAGATCTCATTTGGAAAAAGAGAAAGAAACAAGTCTGTAGTGAGCTTTTAAAACATAAAAACAGGATTGCTGATATTCAAATTATGTATAATTAAAGATGCTACCAAGTGTTGGGACAGGTACACAAAACACAATGCAAAATTTCTTACAAAGCATTTTCATTGCCACCCTATATTAATTACCAGTGCCAGACGTGGTGGCTCACAATAAACCAGAAAAGACAATTAGCAACTAAGGAAATGAGATGTCTAAGAGGGGCTGCATGAGTGATCAGAAGAGATCAAATCAGAAATGACGTTATTTGAGAAAAAGTTGACATAGAACCAATTCTAAATTACATGCAAAGACAGCAAATCAAATGGTTTGCCCACTTGCAGTGAATGCCTTGTAGCGCCATGCCACACATGGCATACACCAAAAGAGGAGAAGGATGTAGTTCATGAGGTTGACCTAGAACAAGATGGAAAGATAACATCAGAAAAACTCTTATAACAACACGATGGGTCTGAAGTCGCCAGAAGAGCAAGAAGCAGAACATTGTATCTCCCATGACACCCGAAGCGGTAAAAGAAGACGTGAAGAAGAACAAAGATGCTAAACTGCAATGACACACACAAACACATGCACGCCCCGCTCCCTACACACACGCGCGCAAGCATGCATGCACACATACAAACAACAGAAGTAGAAAGAAATTTGTAATCAAAACATTTGAATTAAGGACAAGAATGGTTTGCAAACACATCTGGTCAAGTGTGTTGAATACTTCTAAATCCCTAACTACTGTTAAAGATAATGAAAG